TATATTTTACCCAATCTTAACAGTCATAGTAGCTAGTCTATAATGATGCTGGCTCTGACGGATTATCTGCGGGTTATATTGTTGTGTGCCTAGTATGACTCTCTTCCACATATATTGATGTTACCCAATACTTATAGTCAAATCTACTAATCACACATCAATACACTTATTAATTTGTAATGTGCATTATATAATTATATAACATAGAAAAATTAAAGTGGAATGTGTGTCAATACCGTCTGTTACTTTACAATAGTTCAATACTTTACATAACGTCACTGGCAAATGTCAACCAATGACCCGTGACAAAAAGCACCTGAACACTCATTAAATTCATCAATACAAAATTGGGGTCAACTGTCATTGGAAAGTATTCAACTATGTCACACATAATTTAAAACTGTTGTTATTAAGTCTATCTATTCGCTATGCTGATCATTCTCGCCTTAAAAATTACCTATGAATCGTTCCCAATAGAGCATTATGAAACTTCAAGCGGCTACATAAAATTGCTAAGGAATTACTGGTAAGAACATAACATGAAATTTCATCATTAAACCTTTAGCCCCAGTTGAGCTTTGTGTATTTTAACTTCCTTTTTTGTGCATATATTGTTACTTTTTATGTACACTAACGTGAAGTTATATTTATTTATATACATGTTCTGATGTGTTCATACCAATAATATGTTCCTAAGAATCTTTTTTCTCCGTCGTAATCTAATTTGTCTTTCAAATTCTGCGTTAAGAATAAATGTCTATGTATGCAATTGGTTTTATTGAGTACTGGGTTTTATTTGATTATTTGGCTCAATGTATCAAGTTCAAGACTTGTTGCGGACGAAAACAATTTTTTTTTAACATATGAGTTAAAAGTCTACTTATTATTATATATAAAAACCTATTCAGTTTCTTCCATATGCCAAATCCAATGGTTTTCGACATACTGTGACGAAACTAACTGAAAAGAAATTACATTTACTATAGCCGTCTCTTTCATGCAATGTTAAAATCGCGACTTATTAGCGTTGTTACGCAATTCGCCCTCAAAATAACAACGAAAGTGCAATATTATCTCAACAATTTAGCGAACCGTCGGTTTCACTTTCGTCTCGCGTGCGGAGGTCGTTCGTATTACCACAGAGTATAGAATCAATCGTTTTATAAAAACAGATAGTTTCCTTAAATAGGTTTAAATTAAATTTGTATATAAGACATATTTTGAACATTTCATTTGCCAAACATTGAGGTTAATATTGTTTCCATAAATAAGATTCGCATTTACTGTAATATTCAAAACATATAATTATAGTTGTTTTACTTATTATTTAAAAAAAAATAAAGTTAACGGCCTTAATATACAGAGAAATCAAAAATAATTTATAATATTTAACAACTGGTATTTAGTAAGCTATGGGCACTGTCGTGATTTCAGCGCAATTAACTGTCTAACAGCTGTTAGGAACACGAATATGTGAAGCGGAACTCGTAGATCTTTGTTTCACAAAACACAAGTAATTACCGTCAATGCTACCACTGTTTCATACAATGAAGTAGGTTTAATTCAGGCAAATTACAACACGAAACTATACGCGGATACTAAACTATTTTCGTTGTGACGGCATTAAGCTTAGATCAATGGCCTTGATATTCACAATGCTCTCCCCCAACTTAAAATATTATCTCTATAATTTATATCGATTATTCTCAATTTAGGTAGGTACATTGTAACATGAAAATAATATTTTACAAGTTTTAAGGAAAATAGCGGTAAAGTAACGACAGTAATATCCACTTTAATATATTTTTTGGATTAAGACGTATTTTCACATTTTAGTCAAATAATAAATTTTCATTATTACTTGTAATTTTATTTTTTTTAATATATGGTGCATGCCCTAGTAAATCTTTTTTTTCTTACTAGGGTTGCCTGAAAGTGATCGCTTGTTAGCGATAAGGCCGCCAATTGCATACCTAATAATTTATTTACCTGTTTTTATATCTAAATTTTTGGACGTGTTTTAGTATATATATATGTTATAATGTGTACTTTGGCATAACCCTATAAACAAATATAAGATCATAGTAAGTTAGAAGTATTGCATGATTAGCACTGACCAACAAGTGTCGTAAGCGTCATTCAACACCATTGCTTAACACCTGTCGTAGAACTATTAAAATGTTATTTTTTGTTCTATAGGTTTCTATCCAATGCTCAAAGTGCTGGCAATTTAAAGTTAAATTCCCATACATTAAAAGGAAACTTAATAGTGAATTTACTTCTCATATTTTTAGTAAGTATATTAATGAAAACTATTTATCAGCACGTAAAATAGTCCGTTATGCAATTATTCAATTGTAATAATAAATAATGTAACCTCGTCCTAAATTGTGTTGTTTCTCCACATTTGCTTTTGTTTTAACCGTTCTAGATCTAAGTTCAAAGCTAAATCGTGACTTGTTTCAACAATTCATTTTAATAATTAATCAACTTTTTGATGGACATTTCATCAATTATCATTCGACTAGTTTGTGCCAGGGATTGTGTACGTGAAACTATGACAATACAACACGTAATCATTTTGACCTTCATATAATGATAAATAAAAATCTACGAATATTCTTTCAAATATATGATTTCGCTTATTATTCATCTAAATGATGCAAAAAATATATAAAACGATAAGAGATAATTTAAAAATAAAAAGAGCTTATAATGTTTTATTCTAAAGAAAGACCTTCCAAAGCTTTAATTAATGTGAATACATTGAAAAGGGTTTGACAAATGATGAAGTATTTTATGAAATGCATTTCATCATGTCAGTTTGAGTGAAAGCAATGCGTGAAATTTTGAAAGAGTTTCAATCAAAAATATAAATTGCAATAATATTGCTGGGTCATTGAATGTATCGATTAAGGTTATCAATACTGTTAAATTAAAGTTTAAATTAACTGAAAAATTATTAAATAATGCATTCGAAAACGCATTAAACATGCCTATGCAGGAGTTTAGAGTCATATTATAGATTAAAAAGGTTCTATACTAAATTCTCACTATAAAAAATTAAAGTATTTTTTATAATATCGTTGCCGCTTCTCCATCCATTTGTTCAAGTATTACGTAAGCAGATTTACTGCAATTTATCCCCCCCTTCCTCTTGTTAGCAAAAGGAAGCAAAGCTTTCAAAAATAGTAGAACATTAACGTATTAATTTTTTGTAGGAAAATGCATTTTGTTTTCAACCATAGACAATGTGTGGGTAATAATGTAAAAAAGTAAATAATTACTGTTGACGGAATCACATCATCTAAGGTTCTTACGTAATACTTGAACGGAGTGAGAGAGTGAGAATTGAATATAGAGACAAAATTAAAAGAAAAAAAAAATATAAAGCTTTAACGAAAAAACATAATATTCATACATAGCATATTAAGATGACATGTTTCAGTGCCTACTCCTTCATAAAAAGAAATTTGTAAAAATTTCGCAAAAATTGTCAGAACTATTGATTACGTTTTCATACACGGAAATGCCCAGTGACACCACAGACAAGAGGTCACGGATCAAGCGATTAGTTTTGCGATAACTTATAACAATTGTTTGTTGTGGCACGATTTATTCATTCAACCAAAGTTGACCTAAACATTTGTGCAACTTTGACATCTCTCACGATTTTTGTGAACTTTCATTAAGCCATCGCTCTCGTATCAAATTGTCATTTTACGCTATTTTGTACGCAAAAAGAAAGTAGTTTGTATATTTCGTTATTTTTCACCGAATTCAAATCTCATAGGAAGAAGTTTTTACGTATGTAAATTGTGCTCCTTGGGCACAATCCTTGGGCCGATATTCGTCGACGATCATTATGTTTTAAATTTTTGTTAATAAAAAAGTAGTTAATGTTTCATATATTTAATATAATAACAAGTGAAGCAAAAAAATAAAAATAGACATTACATATTATTAATATTAATTTGTATTGAAGTTACATATTTAGTTTTATGAAGTTATGATAGTAATAAAAAAACTATGTCAAAAATAATCAATTAAATAGTTAAATCAAAACGAAACGTATAGAAAGAATAGCAATGTTGCATGTTCTCACGTTCCTAATAAGTGTGTAGTCGGAAACGCTCACAAAAACGCAATACTAGACAAAGGAAGCGAAAACGTAACACGGTGCTATGGGACATTCGTGTTTATTACATTAATTTGGCAATAGGCGTCTATTCAGATTATATAACTGATAAACAACGAATATCGTACTAGCGCCCGCTAACTTAGTTTTCTGACCCTCTCTGTAAATGCGAACAAAAATAATGTAAATAACTTCGTTCCTACTAAGAACCCTGAATTGATTAGTATAAATAAATTGTCAAAATTATAAATTCACAATTTAGTACGCAAAACAAAGAGTGGTTTAGCTAGAGAGCTAAAGTAAAATCTTATGCTTTCACTCGACCGAAATACCGAAAACCATAATAGATACGTAATGATAATTTGTCTTTGGTAATATTAGAAACCGCTCCACTTATATTAACTAACACAATCGTTTTAAACTATTATAATGGCCACCGATTGTCATTGAGAATGGTATTTGTCATGTGAACTAAACCGTAAAACCTTGATTGATGTTTAGAAAGCTTTACTTACGGTGTGTCTATAATGATATAAAAGTTCTTGTAATTAGTAATATTTTCTTACTGTAAAATATTTTATAACTGGAATCAAGTAAGTATACACTTTCTATAGACTCTCTAAAGTTACGGAACTTGATTACAGTAGTTAAAAAAAACTTCGTAAATAATATAAAATATATATCATTAAACACAGTACTTACTGCGAAATTACATTATTTAAAAAGATCCAAGAAAATCTTCGACAGGTAAAGTAACAATTATGCGTTCATAATTTTTTGAAGCTTTTGAAAATAGTATTGACTTTTCAAAAAACAATGGTATTATATTTGTTATATTTATTTAAATTTACACTTAAATTACCTTATAAAGCTTATCCTTTTGATACCACACATCTTCCTCTTCCTCTTGCGCGAGCGCCTGAGAGAGGTCGTCACGTGAACGTGACAATATCCGCCGTCTAGACACCATCTCGCCCCCCGTCGCCAACTCAAATGGTCCTAGGCTGTAACAACAAAAAAAAATAATTGATTAATAAAATGTTTCAAATTTCGGTCGGTATAACTCGGTATTTTTTTTAGAAAATATTCAAGATAGCATTACATTAAGATTTATAAATGAAACGTAATTATTGAGTCGAAATTATATTATTTATACCTTAACTGAAAGTACAATCTACTCTAACCAAAATCACAAAATAAGTGAAGAAAATGTAGTTAAAATCTTCATTAGGTCGAATATACGTTCAAAAAACTTATTCATAAACGTTTAATTAATCTGCTTTTAATGGTCATAAAAGGTCTTCATTAACTTATGAGTGTGCTATTAGACGAATTTACCGCTAAAAATTCATTATCAACAGAATTTTGTATCAATCGTCCCATTCCTATTAAAAAGAGTAAAACTACTTTAAAAATATTTATGTATATTGACCCCGCCGCCGCGGATTTCCCGGGGGGGGGGAGGAAAACCTTTTCCCCCCCCCGGGGGGCCGCGCTTTTTTCCCGGTTTTTTTTATTCCCAGCGGGTCAAAATTGTAGGGTTCCCCATCAAAATAGCTCTTTTACTTTGTATAAGTACTAGAGAACCTTATCGTAATCTCAGCAATTTAACGACAAAACATCTCCCATCCAGAACTAACAAAGCATAATTTAGCCACGCTTCCTTCCGACCGCTAACAATGTATGGCATTGAGCCCGGCATTGGCTCGTATCTAAGATCGTACAGTTCCTTCCATTCATGTTGCGTATAGGCCTGTCAGAGAAAGCGTAGATAACTTTGTTCAGCTGCTACAGTTACAGGTGTTGATCGACGATTTATTGAACTAGGAAACTGGAGAATGTGTCTTGTTACACGGTATATGGAGGATCTGTATTAGACGTAAATGGATGACTTAAGAATCCGACTTGGTTTTATTTGTGTTAAATGTTATAAGTTTATTGTTAGCAGATTAGAAAAAAACCTTTTTTTTCGTTGTTGAAGGGAAAAAGATAAAAAAGTTGTTCATATTTAAAAGATTTGCTCTGAGATTATAGCGAAAGCTTATTTGGGATGACATAATACTCTGTGAAAGAAGACGAAAAAACAGAAGAAACCAATAACTTTTCTCTAATTTATGTTGGAAAATAAAAACAGGAACGCCCCATAAGAACTAAGAAGGGAAGACAAAATTCGCACCACGCTAGGAGGAGATATATGATATATCTAGAACTAAGGTCGCGTCTGATGCACAACAGTGACATCAGTTGGAGGAGGCCTATGCCAAATGGTATATATTAACATTTAATACGCGACACAATTTAACTAATAACTAGTTAGTCTATTAATTTTAAGTGATTATTGTACGTAAACTTAACTTATGATAAGTTTACATTGAGTATCTATAGAATTCTGAGTGACTGTTTATTTGTCTCGCTAAAACCCGAGAGTGGCTGGACCGATTTGGCTAATCTTGAGATATTTGTGAAAGTTTTGGGATACATAAAGAATAAGCAAAGTAAATGACTAAAAACGACATTTTTCCAATAAAACTGTTGATAGCTGGGATATATTTTTGTCTTTTAAGAAATAAAAAATTGTCACTTGGTTGTCATATATCTCTAGATGCCTTCAGTTCGATCTCCTTGCTCAGTTTTAAAAGTTTTGTATTTAGTTTTGACACAAATATATGCAGTAGATACGAAAGTCCTTGGGTCAACCAGTTTCTAATAAAAACTATTATTATTATTTATATTAGATACGCGTAATCGAAATCCATGTCAATTCGAGCATAGATATCGAATATTGCTAGTTAGATATCATCTGTATATATCGTATTCTTAAATCCAAACACCCAATTGATCACCATAAAAATATTTTAATCGAACACGCTGATGTCATCAATCATTTTAAATGGCTATAAGAAGTATTACGTAATAGGATCGTAATAGGTGTACACCGTAACTCAGTCCCGTTTGCTGTATACTGACCTATATTCAAGAGCTAGGGATGTGCCATTAGTATCGACCTCGATCATTATATCTTTAACTTCTTATTTTAAAAGCTTATGTAGATTAACAATTTATGTATAACCGTGAGGGTTTAGGAGTAACAATTATAAAACTGTCCCAACGACATCATAAAACTTTATTTTCAAATTCAAAAATACTCCTGCAATTATCTTAACTAACTTCGTTTTAATCCAGGGAATGTGTGCTTAATTATAATAAGCTGTAAATAAATAAATCAATATCAAATCATAAGTTTTAGGTATAATTACGTATTGTATACTAGTACTTCTACTACATGTCTTTATGAAATCTAGATGTTAATCCATAGAACCCGAAACTGCTATCACAAATAAAATGCTGAAACTGTAAAACGCAAGAAAAACTTGAGCATATAAAAAGTTATAAAATCAATAAAAAATCAAGGTAAAACAGTCTAACAATGTCTGAACAAAAATAGCGAATTAAAACCTTCGATAACCGTAGAACAACCCCGTTATGTCTAGAGCCACCTAGTGGGCTCGGTCAACTTTTATACGTCTTTTTATAACAGCCATCTGCAATTACAGTAAGGAGAACACGTGGAGTGATGTAATCGCCTTTTCTACGAGAAAATTACTCTTGCATGACATTTAAAAGTAATTTTTCTTTCAGTGATCTCGACTACAAGTTTCTATAGCTTTTTTACAAGTCTCGTAACGTCTAGTGAATAAATAGCGTCATTTTAAATTATATTAGCTTTACCGTATTGGGAAATAGTATGTACAAGTAAAGATATGTATAACATGATACTAGTTCATTTAATATATTTATTTCATTTAGGTAAATGAACAGTCTTAGGTGATTAGCAATATACAATTATAATTAAAATGCAATTATTACTAATTTGCATATGCTATTACTATCCTGAAGATTATTTGAATTATGGAAATCATAACAGACAATTTTACATCCATTGAACAAATAGTGGGAACAAGAACGAGTGTTTGCTTCTTTTTGTTTATTCTATGTCTATAATTCAGGCAATTAAAATCTAGTAAACCAGAGATAATAAAAAAGCTGTAAATGTAATTACCGTTAAATATTGTCAAGACTTGATTACAACATTTGTAAATTCCTTTAAAATAACCAAGACACATTCTTTTAACTGCTTTCCAAGTCAAATAGCAACGTGCTTGAGATCCTAATTACACGGGTCTATTATATGTCTAACAAAAATGAGGTTTTATGATTTCAAACCAATTTCATTCTTATATCTATGGAACAAAGTTTTAAGTTGCATAAAGGTTAAACCTATATGTTACGACATAGCCTACAGAAAAGCCGTTTAAAAATTGGACATGTTCTATTTTTAAGATGACACTTGTTGTAATTTGCAAAGGAAAATCTTCAACGTGTAAGATTACGAAATTTTAAAGAGTTCAATGCCATTTTATATTGACATTTCGTATTTATTAGTGATAATGGACATTTACATATGAGGTCATCGATTTCATTAATGTTTTGCTATGTCATAAATCATAGATGATGTTTTTAATACGTTTTATAAACTGGATCACATAATACATGAAGCCGGAATCATTAAGTCATAGATAAAAACAATATAAATTCTTCAGAAATTTATGTTATTTAATGTTATTTTACTACTATTATAGCGTGTTCTTCAGTACAAAACGTCAAGAAGGTTTAAATTTATTCGTACAAGTTCAAAGTTATTTTTATATGAATTACCTTTAGAGCAAATATAACAATGAGATTTCACTCTCGCTTTGCATAATGTGTGTATGAAAAGAATGAGCTGATTTAAATAAATCAACAGAATCAATACACTTGTAATAATTTGAATATTATTACTACCTGTTGGTAACGGCAGCAGGTCTGTCTTCGAATACAAAGGACGCACCCATAGACAACTGCATAAGTATATGTCAAAGACTAGATTGTCTTATTTTCAACATTGATATAGTATTACATATAACAATGATTTTATTGTAATCTTTATCATTTAATCATGCTACATACCTACGTATAATTTGTATTTACAATTTTCTTAACCTACAAAGTAATAATGTAATGTATTTGTAATCTTTTAATTTATTTTGTTCTGTAATGTATTTCCAAACCTGCGGATTACCGTGAAATAATATTTAAAATTCTACAGAAGTCTTAAAACTTTTACTTTAGTATAATGATAATATTTATAGTCGCTATTAACTGCTTAATATGCAATCATACTCCAAATAGAAGATATTTCCTTGAACTAAATGATACCTAATTATTAAATTCCTTCGTATTTGCAAAATTGCACCGTGACATTTAAATTTAACGATGCACTAAAATTAATTATTCAGACTTCTATTTAAATCAAGCTAATAATGTAAAAAAAAACAATAGGAATTTTTAACATTGATTTAAAATAGAATAGCATTTCAGACAATTTTCTGTAATTTAATAATAGCAATTATAATTAAACTTGAACAGTTATTATGAAGGCAAATTATTTTTGTACCTACATATGTAAGTTAAAAAAATAATTACTATAGAATAATTACTATAGAATATTACCGATTAGACTATTCAATTTATTTTAATTAAGATTTTTTTACTAGAAATTGCGTACGGAATATGGTCCATGTTCTCAAAAATTACACGTATGAAGGTCATATATGTGTACGGACACTATGAATACTGTTGTATGGTTATAAAACTATTTACCATATTTGTACGATGCTTATTGTATATGTATTTTTTAAATCCAAAGTATGAAAGTGGGGTAAATGGCGTTTTCTTTCATTTGTTCTCAGTTTAAAAAATAGTAAAAACTTTGAACCAAATAATGGTTCATGATAATGTTTTATATGACTACAGTTTCAAATCTCGATACAACATTCAACAGGTCTGGCACTTTCGAGAAAAGAAGATAGCAGTTACGACTATTGATAACCTTCGCGATGGTATCAACTTAGACCCTGGTCAGTTGTGCGA